AAGTGATGGCGAGCTGTTAATAACTCTCAACTTTCCTCAGTGAGGTGAACATGTTTCACTGTTGGATTAATAATTTATCTGTTAATCTCACCTGAAAAATTTAAAAATAATGAGTCTCTGGTGGTTAATGTGACCACAGCTTGCAGCGCTTCACTTAGATAAGTTTGTGGTGATATAATAAGAAGCATAAAGTGATGAAATCTGAGAAGATACGATCGGTGATGAAAAAGAGACAAAGCCTCATATCATATACAGATGACTCACCCAAGGCTGTCAGTTAAAGCTTGTTGTATATGAAATCTTTTGGAGAATAAATGACTGTCCAGAATCAATGAAAGACTTCTTTTATTCTTTTAATTATTCACTCTTATATCAGTTTGATAAATGCAGTTATTGTTTTATTATGTTACATTTCTTTGTTGATACCAATTGTTTATTGTGCAGCTTCTAACTGTGTTTTTAGTTTTTCTTGGAAAGCACTTTGTTAACTTGCTATAAAACTGTAATATCTGGATTATCTGGATAACAGTATGTTGTATATTACATATCTATTACATAACCAGTTTTCCAACATGTCATCGCTTACACTGAAATTACAATACTATGGCATTTCCCTCTTTACAGTTATGGACATTCCCACTTTGAATACATGTGGAAGCTGAGTGCCGTTGTGGCTCAGTAGCAATAACCAGAAATAGAAAAGCACAGCACAGTCTTTACTTTACCTATGAAGCCCAGGGATGGAACTGGAGACAATCCTATTCTATATTTAATTTTGTTTCCTGATTTTTTTGTCTTTTCCCAAAGAAAACATTTTGACATGTCCCCTTAGGTAGAAGCTAGAGGCCTGTAAAAGCCATCTTCTTCTCCTGCTTTGCAAAGTGAGAAATGTCTCCAATCTATCTGCATCTCCTCAATTCAACAACTGCAAATTTGTTTGTTTGTTTGTTTTTCCACTGTCATAACTGCTCTCTCACAACTGAAAAAGAAAGCAGGCAAAAACGATTAACCAATGAGAATCGTTGGATCGATGACGAGTTGAGCAGAGTTATGTTTATGTAATAAAATAAAATGTGGTGCCAAAAGGACTTTGAAGCAATTGTGTGGTGGCGCATGTCATTTCAAACGCGTTGCACAATAACTTCCAGTCTGTATGACTTTCACCTGTGCTTTGTCTTTATTCATGTCTAAGTAGAAGTAATATTGTATTTACCTATCCCAAACGTAAGAGATGTGGGCTTTTAAATTTAATTGCATGGAAAGATAATTGGGACGGTGGTTAGCACTGTTGCCGCACAGCAAGAAGGTCCTGAGTTCAATTCCACCATCAG